TGCCGTGGCATCACACTGCTCGCAGCAACCTCCAACTCCTGGGCTTAAGCGATTCTCTTGCCTCAGCCTCCCGAGTAGCTGGGATTACAGGTGCCCAGCTATTTTTTGTTGCAGTTCAGCTGGGGCCAGGTTTGAACCCACCACCCTTGGTATATGGGGCCGGCGCCCTACCTACTATAGGCACCTACTGAGCACCTATCTCAGCACCTACTGAGCCACAGGTGCTGCCCTTTGGTTTTTTTTTTTAATGGTTAATAATATTCTATTGTATGGGACGTGTCATTTAACCATTCTTTGTTAATGGACATTTGGGTTGTTTTCACTTTGGGGCCATTATGAATCACACTGGTACGAACACTTGTGTACATGTTTTTGTTTGAACACGTTTTCAATTGCTGTGAGCATATTCCAAAGAGTAGAATTACTGGATCACTTGGTAATTCCATGTTTACTTAACCGTCAGAGGAACTGCCAGACTTTTTTCCCAAGTAGCAGCATCTGCCTCTTAGAAATTGACAGGATTCATTCATTTGTTTACTCAATGAATATGCTTGGGATGGTGACCTGGGCTGGAACCATTTGGGAAAAGATGACGATAGGCTGGTCCCAGTGCAGTGGTGTTTACAACTAATTGATCACTACCAGTTACAGGTTCCTTTGTTCCTTCTCTACTCCCACTGCTTCACTTGACTAGTTAAAAAAAAAATTAATTAATAAGCATAAAAGTATTTTTAAAAGTGTAAAAGAAAATAAAAGAAAAGATTATGATGAAGGAAGGCTGCCAAGACTCGTGCAGATGGGCTAGCAGCCTAGTTTTCTAGCGGCCTAGGCTGGAATTGCCTCTGCCCTTAAGGTTCTCCTAGGATGCTCCTCCTAGGGTCACTGGGTGCTGACCATCACCTGTTAGACCCTGAAGAGTCATTTCATTCTTTCCTGCCTGTGGGCCTCTGGTGGAATGCTCTTCCTCAACATATCTGCCTGCCTCCCTCTATGACCTCCTTAGCTCTTTACTCAAACATCACCTGCTCAGCAAGGGCTTCCCAGGCTTGTGCCCTGCCCCCTACACCTCATCTGATTTTTTTTCTCCATACATCTGTTTCCTTTCTTTGCAGCACCCACAACATTGCACCATACATATTCATTGAGTAAACAAATGAATGAATCCTGTCAATTTCTTTCTTTTTTTTTCATAGAGACAGAGTCTCACTTTATGGCCCTCAGTAGAGTGCTGTGGCATTACACAGCTCACAGCAACCTCCAACTCCTGGGCCTAGGTGATTCTCTTGCCTCAGCCTCCCTAGTAGCTGAGACTACAGGTGTCCCCCACAACGCCTAGCTATTTTTTTGTTGCAGTTTGGCTGTGGCCAGGTTTGAACCCTCCACCCTTGGCATATGGGGCTGGCACCCTACCGAGTGAGCCACAGGCAATACCCTGAATCCTGTCAATTTCTAAGAAGCAGATGCTGTTGCTTTAGAAAACAGTCTGGCATTTCCCCTAAGGGTTAAGTAAACATGGAATTACCAAGTGATCCAGCAATTCCACTCTTTGGAACATGCTCACAATGATTGAAAAACAGGTGATCAGGCTTGGTGCCTGTAGCTCAAGCGGCTGAGGTGCCAGCCACATACACCAGAGCTGGTGGGTTTGAATCCAGCCTGGACCCACCAAACAACAATGACAACTACAACCAAAGAATAGCCGGGCATTGTGGTGGGCACCTGTAGTCCCAGATACTTGGGAGGTTGAGACAAGAGAATTGCTTAAGCCCA